TTTGATGGTTTTTTGAGCACAGAAATGATTGAAATTTATAACAGCATTTTTTTCTTGAACGAAACCTTTTTTAACCTTGAATTGAATAAGAACTACTAGATTTTTGAAAATGTCACTTGGTTCAATTTCTTTCTTGATAAAAGATTTCAAACGACTTCATTGAAGGAATCTTTGCACACCGCGAACCATGCTGTCCATGAAAAAAAACTTTTTATACATTTTCGACCCTTTTCCTATTCTTTCAGCAAAGAACTTTCATTAAGGACATTAACAAACAGCTTGATGTTAGGAAGACCTTGTACGCGTGGACAGAAAAAATTGCTTCACATAGTTGATCATAAGGCCATGCAGAATTATTGCGATATTCTTGTAGTAGTATGTTTGCAATGGCGACAGAAGCGCTTCTAAGACGAATTTATAATTGATAATAAGGTCTTTACCTGATCGTATATAGAATGATTTTTCTTTTTCCAGAATTCTTCAGCAACTTTTTTGATGGCCTTACTGAAATCTTATATATACTCTCGGTACACTATTACCCTGTTGAAACAAACTAGACTGCAATTTCAGAAAAGTTGAATCCACAACTAACCCTGGAACTAAAGCTTTAACAATTCCGATCAACTAACCCTGGAACTAAAGCTTTCACAATTCCGATGTTTCCGACACTCCATTGTCGTTTTAGTTTCGTAGCCCACTTGTAACATTTGCAATCGAACCTCTGCAATAAAGAAAAGGCATCTTTACTCCTAAAACAGAGCCAATCATTTGAACGCTTTTGTAGAAAAAAATAAATCCACCAGAGGTAGTTCATCTTCACTGAATATGTTTTGCAACTCTTTATTCAAGGCATTCTGTTTGCAGTTCTTATCCACTGATACACAGAGTGCGGCGGTTAGCAGCTGGAACATTTGAGTGTTGGTCTAATGTGTGTAGCACATTTAAAACTAACAGCGAATAGCCAGAAGTTGATCATGTTTGAATGAGATCTCGTTCTCGCACTATTTATGTAAAGTCCATGAAAAGCACAACACGAGGTTAATTGAATTTTTACTGGCTATCAGTTGAGGTACAAGTGCGTAAAAGCAATTCTAACGGCCTCTTCAAAAGTACTGCGCTTCTTTCGCAAATAATGACTCAATGTAATTTAAAAGACTTTCATAAATGCACGTAATGGCTATAAGCACTGCTTTGCAGTAGCTCTAATATGATCAATTGTCTTGAACAAGTGCACTCGAAAATTTCGAAAATGCGAGAGAATCAAAAGCGCGATGTACAGGGTGGTCCAGAGTATGCTTACAATTTTCAATCGTTCTCTTGTTTCTTCTGCTTTTTCTTGTTCGCTTGTGTCTAAGCATCACGGTTTCTGCATATTTGCCCTGCGCAATTAGAGCAGCGATTATAATGGCATACTAATTCTTTAACTTTGAGTGGTATTGTTTAGGAACCAAGAGTTGTGCGAGCAAGGCTTTTCGTAGCTCTGTTATATTGAACGAATCCATTCATTCGGGTAAATAATTTTGAGTAAATTGTGAAGCAAAAAACCAATTACGCAGAAGCTTTCTAATGAAAAATTATGCATAGATTCAAAAAAATATTGTACAAATCAAAATGGGAGAGTACGAGAAACCCAGGTAAACAATATAACTTCAGCTGTAATAACACAGCTTCCCTGTAAGACTGTGTGTCTTGCTGAGCGAGCACTGAGTCGTGATCGGCATGCTTACTTACCCACTTGCCAACTCCAAGCTCCATAGCGCAGTCTCCAAAATCGATGAGGGTAATATCTATTTAAAAGGAAAATTAGCCTGAGAGATCTTCTCCGCCCGAAGTTACAGTGGGCAAAATTCATGAAATTTCTATTTTTATACGAACATGCATACGTAACAACGGCCGTCCCTGGATTTCCGTTCGGAGGTGGGGGGGGGGGGGGAGAGACGGAAAATTTTTTCGATTTAAAGGCGCGTGACATTAGCCATGCAATCAGAGAATTTACTTTGGGATGCTTCATGATCCAGCACTTTTGCGGATCCATTTAGCCAGGCCCAAATTTATTTTACATGGTGTCGCGTTTCGCCACACCCTATAGCAGACAAATTTGCTTCCCAGATATTGGGTTAACTCAAACAACCAAAATAATTCGATGAGCCGAGCTGTTCATGCAAATAAGACCAGTCACATTTAGGCCAAAGCCAAGTTGGCACTGGTCTAGGACTCAGCGTCGATTGTTGTCCATGCAGAACACTTCGGTCCGCGCTGAATGAGACGACCTACGCATTGCTCCCTTACGTTAATGTCCTTCTGAACGACGAACCACCTCGGATTACCGAATCGAATGACTACCGAATGCACTTTAGCGTAAGACCTCTATAAGTAAGACTTGCGCTTTCTGGAATAAAAACGCCGAGAAATTCACTGAAATCAACAAAATTGATGGATTGGGAACCTCTTGTCCGCCATCTACTCGGCTGTAGCTACTTTGGCTCGCTTCGGTCTTGGTCATGTTCTGTTTGCGAAGCTCGGCGCTCCTCTCACCGATTCTTATTGCTTTTCAACCATTTACCTTATTCTTTCTCCCATGGTCACTGAAATTTGTTGTTCGTGGCATCTCCCGAGTTTTGTTTCATTTACATTCAAAATGACCGTACTGAATGTATGAGAAGTATGAAGAATGCCATATCGAAAAAATGAAGTGGAAGCTTAGGATCAGATTGCAACGAAATATTAGGTTGTCCCGAAAGTTCTATCGCTTCATTTCTGAAAAATCGTAACTTTGCGCTGTGTCAACGGATTTACTTCATTATTTTTCGTTAGAAACAGTATGTCTTTCTCTTTCAAATGCTGTTTTGTAAAACTTCTGCTACGCACTGACTGCAGAGATAAAAATAGGAAAAGAAGACCATATAAACTTTGCTTATTTTAACTTAGGTCGCCAAAAATCGGGAATGCTGCAGAAAAATCTGAAATCGTCAACACATACGTAGTTTTTGCACGTACTCTTCTCAACTGTGAAGAATTTGTCTTGTTTGGACGTTTCTGTGAGAAGTTACGAAATACCAGTTTACTACAGAAAACCCCAAAATTAATTAATTTGACACTTTTCTCCAAAATCATAACTTTTTGAAGAAACGTCCAGACAGGACAAACTTTTCTCAGTTGCAAAGAGTAGGTCAAAAAAATCTACGTATTGGCGGTTTCAGATTTTTCTGCAGCGTTCCCGAATTTTTGCGACCGTTAAAGTAAGCAAAGTTTATACGGTCGTCTTTTTCTATCTTTATCTCCGCAGTCAGTGCGTAGCAGAAGCTCATCAAACCAGCATTCGAAAGAGAAAAATCTTCTCCTTCTCATAAATATATAACGAAGTAAATCCGTTAAAACAACACAAAGTTACGATTTTTCAAAAATGAAACGACAGAACTTTCGGGACAACCTAATAATTTTATTTTTGCATTTTTTGCGCTGCCTACCGAGCAGGACTTGTTTGTTTAAGGTTTTCCTCCAATGAAACCTCCAGACCTCGCGTAAAAAAGGGAACTTTGACTGAAATGGGAGAAATCGGAATTTTTGATTTTTCTAAGCGTCATTCAAGTGCCTAGGTGTAATCGAGGCCGTTCTTGTGTGGAGGGCATGAGGTCGTCAATAGGGCCCACCCACGCGGAAAGCTCTACTATGAGGCAATAACGTTGAAGGCCCGCGGTTTGCTGCAAATATCTGCATAGGGCCTCCTTTTTTGGCGACCTCGAAGCGCCCCACAGCCACTCCTAAGCTTGCACCTTCGTCCAACAGGAGACTTTATTGCAAAGCTGTTGAGCACACTCTGTATACTACGTTTTTTGGAATTGCGTACAATTTTTCTTTTGTACAGCGCAAGATCTCGAGAAACTCTTATTCTATTAGGGTGAACGGTAAAAAATGGGACACTTACGAACTGGAGGTTTCTCAAGAATGAAAAGCGATTAGACTTTCCAATTTTGACAAATGTTAGAATATGTTATTATCTTCCAGATAATACCTATATAAGGTCATTTACATGATTAATAATTTTTGTACTTGCTAAAATGCAAAGTTGCTCACTTCGATAAATTATGAAGTTTGAGCAGTTTCTGCGCAACGAAACATCTGAGACCACCCAAAGTACCACTGCTGGAGTGGGTGGTGGGACAGTCACTAAACCCACGACGGCTTGGTGGTCTCAACTTTCAAAGTCAGGAGATATGGCCAGCTATAGCAGCTTTGAGGACAAAGACACGCGCTATTCAATTCTTTGCAGGTGAACGCATGTTTTCTAGGTACCATCTGATAGGGCTTTTTGCGCTCTATCCATTCATATGCAGCCTATCTCAGATTTTATCTACCTTTGGAAAATATAGGGCAAAACATGATTTTTTGTTTTTTTATTGCGCCAAAAATAGCTATTTTTTGGGTTTTTTCGCTTTTTTTCCAAAATTGAAAAGAAGTCTTATGCATTTAACATATCGTTTGTAAGAGCATGAAAAGCTAATTCGAATGGTATGTCATATGACGACTTTACGGTATAGCAGCGCAAGATTGAGAACTGTTCCAAAAATCCTGTCTGAGTTGTTAACGGCGCCACGCGTACGGTTTTGAGAGAGGAGCGGTAACGCGTTGCCAGAATAATAGGCGAAGGTCGTTTATGTAAGCGACGTTTGAGTTGTAGCCTGCTTGTTGTTGGTGAGAACAAAAAACCTCAAAATGTAAAAAAAAAATCAGGCTGTCCCATTTTTTACCGTTCACCCTAATAGCTGACAAGCATATTTATGTAGAGAAGGGCTTTTGATAAGATGTAAATGGTTGTATCATGTGGGAAGCAGTTTTTCCTTGATACTTAGAATCTTTTAGCACACGCAATATAAAAAGGTGTTGGGTCGTACATGATCACAGTTAACCAACATTTATCGTAGTACAACACAGAAATGAAAACACAGTGAAATCTTAGCGCTTTCTCTTTTTCGCAATCTGGCTAGAAAGAACAAAACTCGTCACTCTGCGCTTGTCGTGAAAAATTCGATCACACTTGATGCAATTTGTGCGAGCATATTTTGGGAGCTTTTCAACATTTCCTCTTCTTCAGCTTTTCTCTGTTCGTCTATCTTCTTATCTACCGTTTGCATCATTTCTAAAATCTTGTGAATTTTTGGCAGGTTTTTATGGTACCCACAGCAGAATGCTTACCGTGAAGAGGGTATTCAACTATCTCACTTAGAATAGCTTGCGCTTTTTCTTTTCTTTCAAGCTCATCTTGCGTTAATCTAGTCTTGAAGGCCAATGGAAACATTCCGCAGAAACAGCCCAGCAGCATTCCCAGAGTCTGTACCCGTTAAGGATATCAAACGGTATCAAACTTCAAACATACTTTAGCGAAATTTTTTACGATTGATATATCCTTGTTGTGCATTTGCTCTGTTGACAACACAGGAAATCTGTGAAGGTAAACATTTTTTTGACCGTCAAAGTATTACATATACAAACTTGAGCCCAAATTGTTCGGCGACATGCCCAAAGTGAATTTGAGCTTGCAGTAGCACAACATTTGTCACAATGTTGCCAATTGCGGCAGCTGCCATAATGGAAAGTCCATAAACTGTGGAGAACGTCCTTGAAAAGAAACAATACAGGGCACGTTTTTATTCAAGAGTGAACGCAAATTTAACTGAAGTACTATTAATTCATTTTGAGCAAGTTTCTTGAGAGCGCTTTCTTGGCAGTACCTGGGTAGGATGTTGATTTTGAGATTTTGTACTAACCTTAGCTCATTCGCTATGCTGAATCCGACCACTGGAGAGCGCGAAAACGGCGAAAAAGCTCTAATGAAGAAAAAATTAGGAGGTTGGCGCGCCTTTAACTCTGTGAAGACACTCTCCCAGCTTCACGAGCGGTCATCTCCTGCCACTACAAGTGGAAGTCGTGATTCAAACCGTGGAACCGAGAATGTCGTTTTTGAAGCTGGAAGAGTGACTACAAGCAGTGCACCGTTTTTGCGCTTTCCAGTGTGGATCTTTAGATACAGCATAGCGAAACCCAGGTAACCAAAATCATGGCTCCGGTTCTAGTTTTGTGTGCCTCAACCCCCTCTGAGTCGATTTTGAAGGTGGAGCTTTGCTAATCATATCAGAATCAAGCAGAAAAGCGATAACATAATATGGAACTAGACGTGCTTGCCATGACAAAACGCGTCAAGGAGAACTGCCTGTTGGGAATGATATCGGAGTTACGCCCTTTGATAGGGGGATGATCGCTAATGGACGGCCTCACTGTATGATGCTTTGAAGTGATTTGATTATCTGCTGGCAGTCGACCATACCTATCAATGCCTTCTGATACGAATATGAGCAAAGATGTGTCGAGAACTCCGTACACAAAAGAGGAGCTGAGCGACAAATACCTGAAATAGTACGACTGCATAATGTTGCAACTTCATTTGGGTATTTTGTTTATTAAGATGAGCACTAATTTGAAAAGAAAACTTCTTCAAGTTAAAAGGGAATAAGCGTATTAACAGGTGATTTTTACAATGTGTGTGAATGTTCTTTATTCTCCGTTGGAATAATTGAACACCTGTTAAGGCGCTTATTCCCTTTTTGCTATCCTTCACTCATCAACGAAAATTTGATGCTTCTGATGGTGAATAGCACAGAAGTGATTCAAATTTGCATTTGCTATTTTGGGAAAAATTCATTCATGCAAAGTTACCGATTTGATATGGGAAAGCTTTTGGAATGAATAGTTGTTTACAAATCATTCGTGATAGTCCGCATAGCGCAGTGAGTTTCAATATCATTATTGTGCGGGAATGAGTAAGGCGTACATATAGAAGGACCAGTGCGAGCCTCTGCGAAGCAGAGGTGGCGCACTGGTATCGAATATCCACTTTGCCTTACATCTATAATGTGACTGGTGTAGGGAAACGATATAAACTCGTCCCTCGTTCCTCGCCGATCGTAATTTTGCATTGAAGAGCATAAAGTTTAAGCAAACACTTTCATAAAAGAAGAAACACACCATATTTTGGCGAGATCATCAGGATGAATTTCAGCTTGTCCTAATCGGTAGTGCTCAAGATACTGGTCAGCCACTGAGATGACACTATTGAATGTGGAAATTTTACAAAATCAGACCAACTTTTCTTTCTCAAAGCATCAAATACTAGCTTTCTTTCACCAGTTAAAAGCATCTCCGCAACATATTTTGCATCCTTGACGTCGCATACCCCATGTGGTAGATCAGGACCAAACAGTTTACGTTTTCTGCAAGATTTTGTGCTGCTTCTTGAGGAGCAATGATTACAATGTCGTACGAAAATTTCTTTTTCTCGTCTTCAAGGTCATCTTCGGTAGTAGCCGCAGTAGTTTTACTCAAGGAGATCATTTGCACTTTCCTTGTTGCATTCAACTTTAGCAAATTTTTTCTAAATGGACTGTAATTATCTAAATAGCCATTCAATACTAGAATATCTGTTATAAAAGTTTCCACCTAATAATTCTTGAATACATGTGCGTAATAGCCTGTAAGAAGTGTGTGACCACAAAGGTGAAGAAGGATATGAAAATGAACCTTATTACCGTGTGTATAGTGCTGTTTTGCTGACAATTATGATACAAGATAAATTTTGGTAACTTTATTCATAAGGACTTGTTGTGGTATAGGTCACTTTGGTCGAGGGCATTGTCAAGGCAAATTTAGGCGGCTGAGAATGCAAGGTTCGCTGTTGTCATAAAATCGGTCCGCCCCCTATACCTTCTTGGAAGGTACAAAAAACGTCAGTCTTACATCAAGTTTCAAAGAGTTACACACATACAAAGGAAAGAAGCAAAATTGTGTGCAAATGCGCAGTGCTACAAACTCTACTCCTTGCAATTCCGTTTATAGGTAGAGGTCATCCTTTGTGGGCATCCACTATATAACCGGGTAGGATGACAGAGGCCTACAAAGGTTGGGATATGTGGGGGCTATACCAATCAGGGGGAAGCAAATTTGATCCAAGGTAGCTCTTTGGTGGTGGGGATGTCCAAAGAGTTTAGCACAAAGGGATGTACATACCGGTTGCATGGCAGTGGTAAAAAGACTGATGTCAGACTTTGAATGAAAACGACACATTTGGAACGAATCCACAAAGAGGTCGTTTCTTGCTCATTGAGAACATCAAACATGCAGAAACCGACCTCACGTTTTTTTCAACGCTTTAGAATATTTTGAATGCAACGCTATTGCTCCAAATAATCAGGGATCACTTTCGTCTCATAAGTTTTTTACAATTTTGATTCTGTCTCACAATAAGTCACACATTTCTCAGATCTTACTAGGATGCAGGATATTGTTCGATAGAGCAAAGCAAGCTCTGTAAGATGGCTGTAAGTGTTCGCACCAGCTTTAGTACATCACGAGTTAGAAGGAAAGATTTGAGTACTTTCGGATACCAGAAAATTGAAGATTTTTTGAATTTCCGGTTAATGGAAACTTTCCAGACCCAAACGTGCTCAAGCCTATACACTTCACATAAGACATTCATATGTACCGTATGCTTGAAACCGAGGAAACCAAAACTTTCATACTTCTAAAATGGCGATGCTGCGCTGTTCTTGCATAGGTAAATGTGTGCTAGACGCCTTTAGAATTACATTGGCGAATTTTCACCTTTCTGGAAGCGCTAGTTCTTAAGAAATACTGAATATAGCCCTTTTTGCTACAGTATGTCATGTCGAAATCAGTATTTTTAGCAAACTAAAGCTTATAGAAAGCGAAAATCTGTGATTGTACTTTCAAAGACTTGTGATAAACAATTACCCAGGCGAAAGCTCAGCGTCGTCACTTTTTTGGAATATTGGAAATTTTAGTTTTTTCAGTTCCTAGAAACAAATAAATACAGCAACAGCACATATGAATGTGTTATGTGGTACATACAGTGACCACCAAAAATTTGCGGACAAGCCGCCTTCCTTTTTCCATCGCTCATTATCGGATGTAAAACAAAGATGAAAAAGTGATTGTTGCATGACCTGATAGAGCTCTTCAAGAGCTACAACCCACACATTGCGCTTTCTGAAAAATGTTTTTATTATAATAACTTCAAATATCCTTTCCTAAAAAAAGTCCGAAAATGGCCGCGTCACAATGTCGCGGACATTAATTCTTCGAACGCGAAAAATTTCTTTTAGGTCTTTTCTTGGAGCAAAAAGAGAAGTTTTCCGGACAGGTAAGCATACTATGTTGTAGAGCTCATCAAGGACAACAATCGAATAGTGGTTACTTCCAAAAAAACCCAAACTTGGATTTTATTTTACTTTTTTTTCAAAAATAACTTGTAATTCCCCTTTTTAAGCCAAATTTCTTCACATGGGAACCTTTTCAAGATATCCCAACAAAGCTAATCGGATAAAATGGATGCCTTTTGACATCTTCTATGCATCCGACGTGTGCTATCGAGTTTCTTTGCTGAAATTGGCTCTCGACAGTGTCTGCACATGACTCCGCCTGCACCTCACCACTGACTTGCACCGCTTTGCAGGCTTGTAGCTCGGCCGGCGTCAATCTACGAGCCTGCGCATAGGCTCATTCGAAAGAGCGTGAGTTTCTCGACATGATGGTTCGCAATGAGGTGGGTTTGAGAAATCCCGAAGATTTGACGGACGGGGTGCTAAAGCGCAGCCTTAGAGGCGAATGGAGTGAACGCTCTTATCAACACCAGAGCAGTCTTAGAGCTCCGAAATGGGTCTATTACAAGAAAGTTAACAGTCTTGAACTTTCAGGATAGAACTGGCGGCGAAAGGAGCTTTGCTCAACTTCAATTGAAAAATCCTCAGCCTACAGATGAAGCTGCGTTTTCTCACCCCATCTGCAGATTTTCGGTACTTCCCAAACCCACCTCATTTGCATATCATCGTGTCGAGAAACTCACGCTCTTTCGAATGAGCCTACTTGCAGGCTCGCAGAATGACTGCCGGTTGAGCTACAAGCCTGCAAAGCGGTTCAAGTCAGTGGTGAGGTGCAGGTGGGGTCAAGTGCATTCACTGTCAAGAGCCATTTTCGGCAAAGAAATTCAACAGCACATGTCGGATGCATAGAAGATGTCAAAAAGCATTTATTTTATTCAATTAGCTTTGTTGGGATATCTTGGATAGGTTCCCATGTCAAGAAATTTGGCTTAAAAGAAATTACAAGTTATTTTTGAAAAAAAGTAAAATAAAATCCAAGTTTGGGTTTTTTTGGAAGTAACCACTATTCGATTGTTGTCCTTGATGAGCTTTACAACATAGTATGCTTACCTGTCCGGAAAACTTCTCTTTTTGCTCCAAGAAAAGACCTAAAAGAAATTTTTCGCGTTCGAAGAATTAATGTCCGCGACATTGTGACGCGGCCATTTTCGGACTTTTTTTAGGAAAGGATATTTGAAGTTATTATAATAAAAACATTTTTCAGAAAGCGCAATGTGTGGGTTGTAGCTCTTGAAGAGCTCTATCACCTCATTCAATTCAATCATTTTTTTCATCTTTGTTTTCATCCGAAAATGAGCGATGAAAAAAGGAAGGCGGCTTGTCCGCAACTTTTTGGCGGTCACTGTATGCTTGAGCAAGTTTGAGATCTTACGAGTTTTCATTGGGCAGAGATATAAAAAAATCTCAATTTTTCGGGCATCCGAAAGTTCTGAGATTTCGGCATATAATTCGTGATGTACTGGAGCCGGTGCGAACGCTTACAGGACATCTTCGGGAACGGCCGTGGGTTGCCGAGGTTGCCGGCGTAGCCGGGGTGAGAGACAGCTCAGAGAGCGCGCGAAACGTGGAAGTTACCATGAGGTCCTACAACCGGCAACGCCAGCAACTTCGGCAACGCCGGCAACCTTGGCAAACCGGCGACCTATGGCCGTTCCCTTAAAGAGCTTGGTTTGTTCTATCGGAGATACCCTCCAATTCGATCAAAATTTAGAAGTGGGTGTTTATTGCGGTAAAAAGCCAAAATTGAAAAAACTTAAGGCAACCTAATATTTATTGGAAAATGCTGGTGTTTTTCTCTTAGCTGTCTAACCGCGGTTTCACTGATTCGCATGTACTTTTAGTTTCACCTCGAGGGCACTTTACCGTCTACACAATTCAGCAGAATCACCTTACAAGTTGTTATTGTTCAACACCAGTAGGTAATTTGCCAAATTCTTCTTGCGAGCATGCAAAGAAGGTCTCCCATAATTAACCTTCTACAAGTTTACTGTGGACTATGTCCTAGCAAATTTCGGGATGTAAGCGTATTTTGCTTTGAAACGAATAGCCGTCTTACTGGATCTTACCATTTTATTGTGCTTTCTCCATGAAAACCCTATTTTCGTAAAAAAATAGATACCATTACCCAGAAATCATTCAATGAAACGGCTCTCAAAGGCAGTGTCCCACCAGAATTTAGTTTGCATTTTACAAGCCGCTCGGACCCTGTTTAACCCTTTATAGGCTTAAAATTGCACTAAATTTTCAAAAACCCCGTTTTCTGGAGGCCTCGAGAAAGTGACGCAAACGAGTTGTGCCTTCTCACGCTACCCTCCTTCACGGAGGGCAAGCGTTAGGCGACAAAACGTGCAAAACGCAATCAACGTAAAGCCCGTGAATCAAAACTATGTGCAATTTTTTTGATGGCGTCGAGTAATGCATCGGCCCCGACCCCCACCCCCTGTTTTTGGCGGAGGAGACGTTTTGCACGGGGAGTTGTTTGGGGTCCAAAAAATCGGGTTTGTCGCCTAACGCCCTACACCCCTCCGTCACAGTGGCAGCAACGCCGGGGATGTGGACGTGAGTGGCAAGACGTGTTGAAACGCGTAAGGGGGAAAACCGGAGCAGTCAGCCGCGCGTACCAAATCGCTCTCTGCGTACCACTTTTGATGCATTTTTCTCATCGCAGAGGGGGCCAAATCGAGTCGGGCTTGTTGCAATGATCTATCTGGGGGCCCTCTGGTAGATTATGCAAAAATCTGCGCAACCTCCATTTTGGTGGGACACTGCCTTCAAATCAGTTGTTAGCAGAAAAATGGCAATATTGTATAGTATCTCATTACGCTATGTCTCCTTGAAACGACACGATCAAGTGAAAGGGTCCAAAAGAAGATTCATCATCGCATTTTCATTAACAAAAGAACTCGTTGGCTCTCAAATGCTGGGAAAGTGAAATCGAGATGCTAAGGAAGGAAAAATCTTTTGAATGCTTGAAAATCCAATGATTCTTAGGTTTCAAGTTGTCAATGTGTCTCTGTTGTTAAGATCCTGGTGGAGCGGCCTACAGCCTCTCCAAAGTACTTTTTGGCGTTTCCCAGGGATGGATAGGTGGACGTCACGCGAGAAGAGATTCTTTTTCTGCTTGGATATTTTTTGCTTTATCTTTCTAGCTTTCCGTTGATATCTGTTCCTTCTGCTCTGTTGAACTGTTCCTTGTCAAGAAAGCGTTCTGTAATTTTGTGTGTTGTAGTTGTAGAAAATACTGTTGCCTAACCCTCTATTGAGCCGAGCTCAGAAAGAAT